TACTATTAATAATATTATATATATAAGTAGAGAGCAATTTGTATTAATATGGAAGCTAAGTGTAACTTTGGGAAATTGCCAAATTATGAACGGAAGTGATAATATATTCCTTTGTAAGAAGATAATGTGTAATGACAGTAATTGTAAGAGATAAGTTATTTTATATTTTTAGATAATGTATTTATCATAATAATATCTATTAGTTACATCCCATAAAGATAATGCATTATATTGGATTAAAATTTAATTAAAAAACAAATAACCCAAGCCAGAAAATAAGAAATACTTAATTTATACCAGGAGCTAGGTTGCGCGGACATAGGACACGAGATACGGAACATATGGGATATATGATAATAAATAAACAATCATTTGTAATAAATAAAAAACATAAAATAAACATACTTAATTTTTATTTTAATATAATTGGTTTAAATTAAAATTAAATCAAAATTAAATCAAAATATATATAACCAAACTATAAAATAAAAAATATTTAATTTCTTAGATTACTTTGACGTATGAGGTAGTCTTATATGCCAGAAGCTAGACAGACACAAGACACGAGATACAAGAACGAACGGAATATGATAATAAATAAACAATCATTTATAATAAATAATAAACATAAAATAAAAAATACTTAATTTCTTATAACTTAATTTTTATTTCAATATAATTAGTTAAATTCTCGAAAATTATTATCACTATTGAAAAACCTATATCTATCTATATAATATATAAAAGCAGGATACTTTGCTCTATATGGAAGCAAAGTGTGAGTGGCACAGTTTGCCACTTGACATTATTTTGGATTATAGAATGACGGATGTTAGAATTCACACAATTTAGCATAATTGTAAGAATTATAAAACAATCAGTTGTTTTATATTTTCAGATAATCCCTCTATCAAGATCCCCGTATCAAGAACTAAATATCTCTAAAAAAAGAGTTTATATTAGCATTTAATTAATATATAATATAAAATTTATTTATTCTCAAAAATAATTAATAAAGCATAAATACAACACGCTTAAAAAGAGTGTGAAAAACAAGAAAAAATATTATTATTAAATAAACAATATATAAGCAATTATAAAAAATTGAAATGAAAAGTATGAGATACGATAATTTTAAAAAGGTAAACATCTCACACGTAAAGGAGACACTAACTAAATAAGTAATATATTAATATTTCAAATAAACAATAATTTATAATAAATTATAAACATAAAATAAAAAAAAACTTAATTCTTATTTCAATGACACAGAAAATATTGAAAAATAGTTCATTTTTTATTAGTAATAAAAAAAACCTTGGTTGATTAGCTTAGTATATAGAATAGTCTCATATACCAAGAGCTGAGTTGCACGGAGATGGAACACGAGATACGAAACGTACAGGATACGATAATTTTTAAAAAAGTTACGACTTTCACTCGCTTAAAACACACTACACTAAATAAGTAATACATTAATATTTCAAATAAATAAACAATCATTTATAATAAATTATAAACACAAAATAAAAATCATTTATAATAAATTATAAACACAAAATAAAAAAAAAAACTTAATTTCTTACTTCAATGACACAAAAATAAATTAAAAAAACACTTCATTTTTTATTGGTAATAAAAAAACTTTGATTGATTAGCTTGGTGTATAGAGTAGTCTCATATAGCAGGAGCAATATTGCATGAAAACGGGATATGACTATTTTTAAAAAAAGTAGGACATACACACACTTAGGAAATAGTACACTAAATAATGAATACAATAATATTTTAAATAAATAAATAATCATTTATAATAAATAATAAACATAAGATACATATAAGAGGAAAAAAAAAGTAGGAGATGACTTTTACTATTGCATACCTTATGAAAAGTTTCGTATGATATTTAAGAAGATATTTTTTATTTTAGCATCACAACTTTTCAACATATCTCAATAAGATACAATATACCATTTTATTATATCATTTTATTATTTTTGAATGATATTATAAAATATTATTTCATCTTTTAATATTACCCTGTGCATCGTACGGATTATAAGGGAAAAGAAAACCAATTATATTTTCAAATAATATCATATAGGAGAAAAAAAACTAAATTAATATTAATAAGGAAAAACTATTTTATTTGAAAATAAGAAAGGAATATAAGGGAAAAGAATTTTGATAATTTTCTCTTCAAATTAGAAGGAAATTTTCATCATTCAAATTAGAAGGAAAATAAGAAAACTTATAAAAATAAATTTATGAAAAAAATAATTTTATATTTTTCTTTATGATATCCAAAAAAAAAATAAGTAAAAAAGTTTTTCCACGGAAAAAAAATTAGTCCCTTCTTATATTTGTCGATTAATTTATTAATAAAAAAGATACAAAAATAAATTTGAAAAACATTTACATCGTGCCTCTAACGAGAACGTAGGCGACTATGATAATTTTAAAAAAAGTAAAAAGAAATCCACAACCTTAGGGACACAGTACAAAACTAAATAATATAATATATAAATAATTATCAAATAATAAAATAAATAAACAACCATTTATAATAAATCATAAATATAAAATAAAAAAATACTTAATTTCTTACTTTGATATAATTAGTTAAATTCTTAAATTATTATCACTATTGAAAATAGAGTAATAGTGTGAGTTCCATTTTTTATGCTGGTCATACTAGAGGTGTTAAAATGGTTTACGACACGTGAACACGATTCGCCTAACACACAAAATAAATGTGTTAGGGTTGAGGTTAAACGAGTTCGTGTCATAAACAAATCACCCATTTATGACACAAATATAAATGTGTTGTGTCATGAGTTGATACGTGGGTTAGACGAGTGACCCGTTTATTTAAGAGTAAAGAGGTAATTTTAGTGTTAGATATAAATACTCCAACTAAAACCTATTTAAATTTTATTGTTATATTTTTTATTGTTATATTACTTTTTACTTTAATTATGAATCTTGAAGAATTTATACATTTTACGTGTGAAAATTTAATTTTAAACATGATTGAGTTAAATAGGTTAAAAGTTAAAAACACTATAACCAGGTTAAATGTATTGTATATACGTCAACACATCCACTTAATCTATTTATGATATTAAGCGGGTTACACGAGTTGTATATGGATCAACACGACCCACTTAACCTGCTTATGATATTATCAACACATCCACTTAATCTATTTATGATATTAAGCGGGTTACACGAGTTGTATATGGATCAACACGACCCACTTAACCTGCTTATGATATTAAGTGGATTAAACGTGTCGTGTTTGTGTCAACCGTCTAATTTTCATGTAGTGTTTGTGTCAAAGTTATAAAAAATTATTTCATCTTTTAATATTGCTCCGCGCATCACACAGGTTCTAACACTAGTAAATCATAATAATTTAGAAATTTTCACCTCACATGCGTCAATACCACTCACAATGTAGATTTTACCCCCTCTGAATAATACTTACAAAATTTATGGTAACTTTTATGGTAGAAAGGACTCGAACTTGAAACTTTTTCACTCTTTATATTCTCTACAAAATAAGAAAAAACCAACTAAACTACTCCTGCTTAACACTTATTAACTAGTTAAAAGACTAAAAATAAATAATTTATTTACTCCATAAAATAAATAGATGTAGAAATAAAAAACCTGTGCATTTGGTTTTTCAAAGTAAAGGTGAGAGGAGCAGCAAGCTTACAAGATTGATAATGAATATGTTGCTCGAAAATTCTCTTTCGCTGTCATTTTAACGTTTCGAAATGTTTACTACCACGAAAATTCTTAAGGCCATTTTCACAAGTTAGTACGAGACTCAATTTGCCCTTTTGAGTGTCATATACAATTGACTCATATACAAAAAACAAGTTTAATTAAAAGCTAAACATTAGACCAACAATGTATTGGTTAGGGTGGTAAATGACCTCAATCCGTAAGAACACAAGTTCGTTTCCCGAAAAGTGCACTTTGCTGGAAGCGCAAAAAACTTTTACACACTACAATCTGAGAGAGATTAAACCTCCTGATTATACCAAAAATAAAGAAAATTAAACGTTAGAATGTTAAATATTTCATAAAAAGATCATTCAACCTCTAAAAACTATTATAAAAGCGCTAAAAGTTAGCTCAAAAGCTATTGCCGAACATACCCTTCCTATGAGCATCCGTTAATAGGACCCTAATTGCTTATTATTAATTTGATTTTTTTTAAAGATATTATTAATTTGATTTTTAGTTTTTAAAGTTGCAAATTTTAAAAGGAGGACCGAAAAAGTCAATTATAGACCGGAGAAGGCAAAAGACGGAAATGAGACTCAAACTCAAATCTAGACATGGGGATTAAACTCAAATTTTGACCAAAGATTAGACTTAGGCTCATACTTCAGAACTTATTCTGAACTCAAACTCCTGATCAGAATCAGGTTTTGGACTCTAGACTCAGACTCTAAATCAGACTTAGACTTAGAAGTGGACTTGTCAGTAAAGTCGAACTTTTTCTTGAAGCTTTTGAATATTGAACAAGTCTGAGCCGGTTGGATTAAGTTTGTGTGGTCAAATTTTACTCCCATCTCTTTTCTGCACTGGATGTTGGTTCCAAGGTTGAAGAGACTCATAGTGAAGTTTGGGTTTTAATAAAAGAATGATTCATCATCAATAACCTCTCCAGTAAGTTAGGAGTGACTATAAAATAAATCCTTTAATTATATCCATTCTGCTTAAACCAAATCAGATTTATTGAGCATTACTTAAGATATTTTGTGATGTAAAGTGTTTCTTTACGTGAAGTAAATTATTGATAATGGACTGCACTTGCCAACCCAAAATGTCTGCCGAGCAGGACAAAAAATAAAGTAGGGAAAACACTAGCCCCACATTAATCTCCTGAGAACGACATAAAAATAACATGCTACGTTGACGAGCGTATTAAGTCAAGTCTCGATCAAGTCTTAAGCTTAAGTTCTTTACAACATACAAATTAGAAAATTTCTGGGAAGTAAGCTTCAAATTGATTAAAGGGTTCAAATGGGTCGCATCATGAAGAGTTGTTTCTCTAACCTCACCCATGAAGTGATTGCTTGGGCTAAACACAAAATAAATATTACAAAGGCAGCCTTCTTCCTTTTAGGTAAGTTTCCTTTTTCACAAATGTATCTTTTGTTTGAGCTTTTTAATTATTTGAATTTATTTTTTATTTTTATTTTTATTTTTTTGAGTTTATTAGATGATCTAGCACCTGGGCGTAGCTTAGATCTGAGGAACTAGCTAGATTCCCAGAATAAGAACCTCAAAAAACCCGAACCAAGACCAATAATTTCAGTTAGGAAATTGACGTGTGTTTGGGAATTGGGTTGCTATAGTGATTTGGTGTAATTGTAATGAGTAATCTAGTTTGGACGTTGGTTTGCAAATTAGCTAGATTACGTCATGTGGTTCGTAATCTGCAGATTTATCTATAATAATATCTAACTTCTATTGCCTATCAAAAAGAATATAATAAAAAAATAAATTTTCAAAAAGTTTTAAATGCCTTTAATTTTAGCTGAGTTACTTCATATAGCTGATACTATACATGATTCTATAATATTTTGGAACGAAACACATGACAATTTGGCCGTTCAACTTGTTTAACGGATTAAAAAAAAAACAAAAAAGTCAAATTTGACATTTTAGCCCAATTTAATATCTTACGTTTATTTAAAATGATTAAAAATATCAGATTAATATTTCGAATTAATTTAATTTCTAATTCTTCGCTATATTTCAATACGAGAATTCTTCTATAGAAATTTATTAAAATTTGAAATTAAGCTGTAATTTATTTAAAAAATTAATTAAATATGAAATAGAGGAAAATTATATTTAATGAAATACTGGTCCAACGATTGACCCTTTAAACTTAATCTTCTGCTTTTACCGAGTCAATGAGTAAGACGAAGCTAAATATTTTTCTATTGGAGTTATAAAAATAATTACAAATAATTTTTTTTTTAAATATTTTAGGCGTTCATTTTATTTATAGTTATTTTAAAAATAATAAATATCTCCTTAAACATTATTATAGAAAATTATTATTATTTATTTATATAGCAAATTAAATAAAAAATAATTTATTCGGCTTAAAAAATTAAAAAAGTATATATTATATATGACAATATAAAAAATAATTGTTCTTGTCGAGCAAGAGACAAAGAAATAACTAACGAGCTAGAATCTCGGACTTTAAATGTATAATTAATGTTAATCTTTGACTGAGTATTACATATTTTAAAATGATCGAGTAACACTGAATGGATTCTCTTAATAATTTCTCTAACACTAATCAATAAGATGCACATTAATAATTATACACCTGCAGGTTTAGTTTTTGCACATGGATTAGTGAAAAATGCAGTGGTAGATATCTTGATTATGTACCTTATGGAAGACTGGGAGCGGAGCAATCTACCTAAAGCTGCTGCTATTATTAATATTCAAGAAGGAGTAGCTGCTGTTGTTGCTCTTATCATGGCTCACGTCGCGGATGCCTACATAGGTCGCTTCACAACTGTTATATTAACCACTGCTGCTTATATCATTGTGAGTATCCATGTATTAATTTTTGTCTAGCCAAGTCTGCTGTTTAAAATTCACTAATAGCATTATGAATTGTAGGGGTTGATGCTATTATGGTTTTCTAGTTCGTTTCTTTCACACGTGAAGATTGGAGTATTTTACTTGGCATTGGCACTGATAGCATTGGGTACAGCAGGGAAAGATCCTCCTTTCAAAGCATTTCTTGCAGATCAGCTAGTCGGCGAAGATTACGATCAAATTCAAGACCGCACAACATTTTGGTGGCGAGTGGTAAAGTTTATAGGGGCTGTCATTTCCGTATTTTTCATAACTCGATATTCTTGGAAAGCTACTTTCATGATTTCTACAATAGTGATGGGAACAGCTTATTTATGGTTTTTGGTTGGTATTTGGATTCGCTTGTATCACCGCAAAGGACCAACGGGAAGCCCGCTTACTACTCTTTATAGAGTCACTGTGGCAGCTATTTATAATTGGCAATTGGATTATCCTCTTATAGAGTTTTCTCCTCGTCATCCAACTTTGAGGTGAATCTACTTATCTTTGAAACCTTATAGTAAATAATAATAATTATTATTATTATTTTTTATTTCTTATAGCTTATATTATTAATTAATTGAGTATCGAAAAATGCCTATAAAAAAGGGTTGAAATACTGTAATCCTGTTAGAGGAACATAAGGAGGTAGTTCTTATTCCCCAGTGTACAAGGCTTACAGGCTAACCATGAGATTGGGAAGTCATCATTACACTTGTCAGAAATGGATTCTAGGTAGGATTATGAAGTATAGATAGGTTTATAAGTTGTAAGTGTTAGATTTAATTATTAATTTCAAAAATTAAAGTCAGATTATCAAAATGGGTACTGGTCCAAAAAATCAAATTGGTTTAATAAAATGGGAAGTAAACACATTTAGTTGATTAAAGATTTAAAATTAAAAGGAAAAATATAAGAGTAATTAGTGATAGTTCCAAAATATAACAAGTGTGATTATGAATAACTGTTTGAAATTTTTGTAAATATGAAAAACCATTAACTCTTTTAAGTGATGTGACTTTATTTTATATAGCTAACGTAGTAGATTGAGTCTATCTAATAATTTTTATACACATAGTCAGGATGTGGTTGGTTATATGGATTACCCCTTGATTATTTTATTGATCTCTTCCTTAATAGAATATTTTAGGTGTCTATCAATTGGTATTTAGTGCACAGGTTTTAGTCAATTATACTACTAAATATTTTTGTAAATTATATTGTCTTGTCACTATATTCTGATCTTGTTATACTATAAGGTCCAACTGTTAGTTTTACCGCTATGTAACTGTAAAATGTCAAAATTAGTCCAAAGGGATAATCACTAGGGATGGTCAATATACTAATAATAAACTCAAATTTCAAAATTAAACTATTTAATTCATGTACTATCAACTTATTACACTGGTTCACCAGGTTACTGTAAAGGTATTTTAGGCGAATAATAATTTAGTATCTTTAACACTAAGTATAGGTGGATGGATAAAGCATCTATTAGAAGAACTTCTTCTTCCAACCAACAACCAATTCAAGAATCAACCTTCTCAGCAAGACTTCTCCAAATAAGCTCTTGCACAGAAACAGAAGTGAAGCATGCAAAACGACTTCTAACATTGATTCCTTTATGGATGACCTTCCTCATGTACAGTGTGGTACAAGCTTCAGGGAATACTTTCTTCATTGAACAAACTGATGGCATGAAAATTCGTATAAACGCCGATTTTGATTTTCCTATCACTTTTTTCTTTATATTTCAGTCATTAACAAGGTCTATAACTTCATATCTTGCAAATTTACTAATCTCAAAGAAGTGGAGGCTAGCAACACAACAACGTCCACAACTTTTAAAAATCAACTCAGGAATGGCTTTCTCTATTATGTGTTGCCTTGCTGCATGGCAGGTTGAAGTTAAAAGATTGAAATTAATGAAGGAATGTGGATGTATGAGCAGTGTTTATGAGAATAATAAAATCAGTATGAGTGTTTTGTGGTTACTTCCACAATTCTTCTTGTTAGGACTTATGGAAGGACTTGCAGAAGATGGGCTCAGCCAGTTCTTTTATAACCATGTGGATGAATCAATGAAATTATTTGAAACACCATTTAATGGATTGGTGATAGGAATTGGGAGGCTCCTTACACTATTTTTTATTCTACTTAGAAGAAGTTGGTTTGGCGATAGTATAAACCATAGTCGATTGGATAAATATTTTCGGTGGTTAATGATCCTCAGCTGTTGTAACTTGTGTTTTTGTGGTGTTGTTTCTTATAAATATGCAAATCTTGAAGGACATCATCAACCTGACATCATTGATCAGTATGAACAGCAACAACAACAATTGCAACAACAACCTCATCAACTACAAGAAGACAAACAAGAATGCCCACAAAAGGAAGCAGAATTGGAAGAGCTTAGTGTTGTGATATAAGATAGTGTTGTTATGTAAGATAGTGTTGCTTAGTGTTGATATAAGATAGTGTTGTTATGTATGCTTATAAATTAAATGTTGTCTACTTTATTTGTAAAGTTTATTTTTGACCTTTTAATTATAGATATTAATAGTACCAGGCTTCGGGGTAAAAAACTTACTCCCTTTGTTGTTTGATTTATGTATGCAAAATTTCTATTTTAGGCATTTCATTCACATAATTAAGCAAACTTACTTGAAATAGATTTGGTCTAAAATATAAAATCTATTTGCCATTTTTAGTTTGTAAAATGCATCAATTATTTGACAATTTCAATATAGTCGCGGACGATTTTTCATACTGCATTAAATTAAGTTATATTACCAAAAATAAATTAACATCTCTCTACAATTTTCATGAATTTGAACGAAATTTCATTTCTATTTATTTGTTGATATTGTCTTCAAATTAAAAAAAGAACACATATTTTATTAGATTGCACTCAGCTTTCATAAAATAATTTTATTATTAAGTGCCCATATTATTTATATGCGTGCATTGTTAAGAATCAAAAGCAATCTACTAAGTGCTTATTTGTATTCAAAAGTTTCCAACTATCTCCATTTCTGACATTGCTTTGTTATATTTTAAATTTTAAATTTTCTGCCTCCTTTTCTCAACAATTCCTCCATTTTGGTGTATCAATTTTAAATTAAATGCATTCTTAGTTGTTGCAAAAGCTGGGTTGGCTAACACTGAAAGAGGAGTTGATGAGATTTTAAGGGCAAATTAGGAACGAATGGACAAAAATTTCAGTTGAACTAATTCATTAATGTTTGTGCAAAATCAGTTGTGCCTAGGTATATAAACGAAATAGAGGTAGTATTATTACACATTTATTAATAATTAATAAAACTTGTGGTAAATTGATGTTGTTTTATGCTTTTTTTTTTTTAATTTATAAAGAGGTCCAATGAGTTAGAATATTATTGTCGACTACATAATAAGTAGAGGTGTGCACGAGATTGTAGAAATCTCGTTCCTTTCTCAAAAGTTATCCCGAATTTTCTATTCCAAAAAATTTGATGCTAATTTTGGGACCGATTGGTTTTTTTTATTAAAACCAACTCGTATCGAATCAAGTTATTTCATCTTATTCTGCTCCGTCCTAAAAAAAATCGACATTCTCTTCCTATTTTTCTCTAAAATTTTAAGTACCTCTTTTTTATGAATTTCATTCATGTGTATGAAAATTGCTTTATCTTTTTAATTTTAGTTTGTTTATAACACCAATTACTTGTTAAGGTAATAATAATATATATAAAAAAAGAACATGCATTTTTTAAATATAAAATAAATCAATTAAGTATACATATTTTTGAACATAAACTTTTACTCTATTATTGTACTGTATATGTTAAGTAAATTTTCCTGAATAATATCTTCTATTAAAAAAAATGCAAAAATTAATCGATACAAGAGAAAGTATTAACTACAATTAATCTGATAACTGAATTACTTTTTCTTTTTGATAGTAAACTGAATTACTTATTATGCTTAATGTTACAATTGCTTTATTTTAAGATGATATTCAAGATTAAATCAAAATAGTATCAAAATTTAAATAAGCTTGAAGGCAACAATAACAAAAATAATGATGAATTAAAATTTATAAAATATATATATAATTAAATTATACATAGTTTTGGAATTATTTTATTTTATTACATTTAACGCTCTTATTAAATAGAAAGTACCAATTGACAAAATTTATATTGATGAATTTTATTTTATTCTAATTGATGAGTATGACAATTTTATATTTTCTAGTGAAAAACGATTTGGTAAGACTTTGAAAAATTTTAATTAATTCCATCCCGACCCCTTCTAGCCCGTTCCATAGACCTAACTTGAATTTTGATCTCATCCCATTCTAAAAATTAGAATAGTATAGGATCAAATTACATACCTATTAGGATAGGACGGAACTCCATTTTTTTTATAGGAAAATTAATTATTTAGTCCATGAGGTGTCACGAAATTATCTAAGTAGTCCATTCATTTTCCACAAATATTCAGCGTATCACTCACGTTTTCATCTATCACTCTAAGTAGTCCCTCCATCCAATTTTAAGAGTTTTTTCCGTTAAGTCACAAAGAAACGACAAAAATACCCTTAGGCAATATGGAAGCCGCAAACCTTCTCTCCCTCTCCGCCACCCTTGCCTGCACTGCCTCTAGCATTCCCAACCCTACCATCTTCTCCACCACCGCCTTCAACATCACCACCTTCAAAGTCCTTAGAATCTGGAATTCCATCATCACCTCCACCACCTCTACCTCCATCTCCAATTCCACTGCCTCTACCTCCATCTCTACCTCTATCTCCACCTCCAACTCCACCTCCACCTCCAACTCCACCTCCGCACACATGCAGAAAGTCGCCACTGCTCCTTGGGCTACACAATGACGAAATCCATCGAAATGGGTTCACTTGAAGATGAACTAAGATTAGAGCCTACATATTTATGAATTCCTTAGAAGGAAGAAACGGGATAACAAGAGTAACGGACAAAATTAGATTCAAGGATATGGAAAATGACGTTAAGAGCACATAATGAATCAACATCAGAAGTTGGGGGAAAAATAATTAGAGGAGATAGGTGATGAACCAGAGATTGATTCTCTAAGGCGACTGTAAAAAGATTCAACTCTTTGCTCTCTCACCATGATAATATCGAGAAGAAAGAAGCAACAATTGGGTATTATCTAAAAAATGCTCAAATTTGAAAAGAAAGAGCAGAGATTAACAATGGAAGCTCAAATTTTACTCATTTTGCTTGCAAAGTTGCTCAATTAAGTAAATAGAATTAGGGGAAAATTAAAAAAGGGGGAATTCAGAGAATGAATTGAATTGGGTTATTATTTGATATTTAAACATACATCTCTGCTTGGAGACGACTTGGTTGCGATGGTGTGAAGGTCGTTTTCATGGTATGCGCGTCTGGCAGTAGTGGCAAACTTACACGGATTTGAGATCCTCTACTTTGTTTCCAGGTTTGTCTTGCTCATAGGCTTCATGGATTCAATCCCATCTTTTCAATTGTTTTGATTTTGATGTTTTTATGTAGAAAGAAAGGTTGTAAAAAGCTTAAAGCGCAAATTTTGTCATTTTAAAAGATTTCCCTCACCTCTCTCTTACCTTTTCTTGTGTTTTAATGGCAAAAGTAGCTAAAAATGGACGGAGGGATTATCTAGGTTAACGAAGACAAACCTCTGGGACGCCTTAGATATTTAACCAAACTACAACACTACTTATATAACTTCATAATGCTTCAGGGACGAAATAATTAATTTCCCTTTTTTATATCCAGATATTTTGAGATGAGACTGAGAATTATATAACTCACGTTCCGATCCATCTCACACACATCTCTAACAATAAAGGTAACTCTTTTATTAACTCACATTGCAAAAAGAACAAGGGAAATAATGATGGAACCAAATCTCTCAATAAATTGCGACATAATAGCGACAAAAGCAAAAATTGCAAAAAATGAGAAATATTTATTATACTTAGCAACTGATAAGATACTAACAGTGACCAGTTTAACAACAACAAGAGAATCAATCGCTAAATTTGAATTGTGGGTTCTTTAGTGATTGATTTCAAGAAAATAATTTACATATGGATGCTTATTGGTTGCTAATTTTATTAAATCCGGAGGAAAAATTTGGTGGGTAATTTAACGACCAATTAGATGCAGAACAAAGCTTGATGTTGAGAAAATAATTTAGTGATGCTTATCAATGCCTTTTTTTTATTTTGGAGTTGTATGATGAACTTGTTTTCCTGTTGCAATGGATTAGCACTTGAGTTAAAATATAGCAATAGATTTTTAACAGATAGCAACAGATTATATCAATCTTTAATATTTTAGAAATTAAAATCCATTCTTCCGTTAAGCGAGCACGCTTAACCCTGGAGTTCTTCCAACTCTCGAAGTCATTCCACCAAAAGGCGCCTTTGATGATTAGTTTTACCCTTTTTGATATATGATTCGATTCATTCATGTGTCTCGCATTCCACTATCCATAGCTAGCCTGACATCCTAAAAGCTAGCCAGGAGCTTTGCTCTACCCGTCCTCTTAGGATCGCTTTGCCGGGTTGGGATGTCATATGTAACATCCTCTTGAGTTGAGTCGGGTTGAACCAAACCTGGTTGGGGTAGAATGGATGATAAGTGGACTTATTTGCATGGAAAGTTTAGGCCTTGTTATATTAGTTGATTGCTATCATGGCTCTTTTTTATTTGGAAGTTGTTTGATGATACTTGTTCTTCTGTTTGCAATGGATTGCACTGAGTTAAAGATATAGCAATAGATTTTTAACAGATAGCAACAGTATTTATTATCATAATCTTTATATTAGAAAAATTTATAATAATTCCAATTCTGACGTTAAGCGTATTTTGTTCACTGCTTGAATTCTCCTGGATTGTGTTCTTACCCAACTTCCTCGTGAAGTCATTCTCACCAAGAAGGCGCCTTTTGATGAATTGTTTACCCTTTTTGATATAGATTCATTTCATTCATGTGTGTCCTCGCCATCTATCTATCCAATTAGCTTAGCTCTGACATCCTAAAATACTATTGCCAGAGCTTTGCTGCTACCTCGTCCTCTTTAGGATCTGTGCTTTTGCCTGGTTTGGGTTTTGTTCATTATTTGTACATCCTCTGAGTTTGTAGTCGGGTTGAACCAAACCCTTTGGGGAGAAGTGATGATAATGTGGACTTATTTGCATGGAATAGTTAGGTCCTGTTTGCTGCCAATACATTCGTGTGGGTATTTAGTTTGTGTCTTTGTATCACTTTGTAGGTACATATAAGATATGTTACGTGTTCATGTCTTTATATATCAGTATCTTCTAGAGTCTTATCCCGTTCTCTAATCATTTCACTTTTCCTATTGTTCACTGTGTTTCTATGTTCTTCTTACGTTCCTTCCATTCCATGCATTCTTTTCATTGCAAGTTTACGCAGTAGAGTCCACTCCAAGTATGTAGTAATGTCCTTGTAAGTTGTGATGTTATTTTCTATTTATATAGTTTGTAGTGGAGATGTAGTTTTGAGATTCTTGTGTATAGGAATGAAAGTTCCAAAGTGGCAGAAGGAAGCTAATAATCAGAGGTCAACCTTTTGACGTCAAAGGTTTGATATCTCATGTTTGTCTACTATGTTCTTGCATATTAAAATTGTGTGGTGTGTTGTCCGAATTGAGATGATATGTGCTTGTTGTGGGTGGTAAAGTACTTGTATTCTTTGGAAATGTGTTGAAACAGGGTGATTTGATATATGAATTGGAAACGATTGTGTCTGTAATGTTTACAAGGGCAACCTTCATCTGATTTTGTAACCTATTATAATGATGGGAATTAGTAATTGTCATTATTAGATTATTTGTTCCTTTTTCTTGTGAGCATTACTATGGGTCTTTTTGAATCATTTCAGATTGGAGTTTAGATTATTGAAGTATGGCCTAAATGAACATCTATGACTGCACAGATGATCACGTCGCTGCGCCTCTGTGTTTGGTTTTATCCTTGCTGTCATGATCTGTAAAAGCAAGTTCGCTGCTCTTTTTTGTCGATTTTCTATTGCTGTCGTCTTTCTTTTTTTTTTTCTTTTGCGTACTTGAGTCAGTGTAGTCTTCTCTTTGTATTCTCAAATATTTGTGTCATTCATATACTCGTTGTCGTCTCTTTTTTTTTGTATTTTTTTTTTTTTTTTTTCTGTTTATTTGCGACTTGTGTCAAGCGAATGCGTTCTGTGTTTTTCCGCTGTTGTTTTATGACTTGGTTCCAAAAACTTTTCTTTCTGACTCTCATTTTATATTGCTACAACTCGCTGTTCTGCTGTTACTTTTTCATTGCGCTGGTCGCGACTTTGGCCAGAAGTTCTTCTCTGACTCTCAGTGTGCGCATCTCGCGCTGTCGTCATAGTCTACACATATGCTCACTTGTGCATGCGACTTCATCTCGCGCTCGCTTTTTGACTTGTGCTGCGCGGTCTGCGATCTGTTTTCAGCCGATTGAATACACACTGACTTCTCAGGTATTTCTTTATTGCTACAAGTCGCTGGCCTTTTTTGCTCTGACTTTTCTATCATTACTGTCGGTTGTTTTTTTTTTTCTTCGCTGTTGTATCTGTGTTGCTGTTGACCTTGTTTGTTTTTTTTTTTTTCTTTCTTTCTGTTGTGCTTGTTTTTCCATTGTTTGCTAGTTGTGTATATCACTTGTATCTGTTGTTTTTGTCTCATTCATATTGCTATATTGCATTTTTTTCTTGTCAATTCGTTATTTTTTACATATTTTTACTTAAAAAATTGATCAACATTAAATTACACGGTATTAAACATCATACAGATGCATTCATTTTTTATGAATTGTGAAATCAAATCAATAATGGTGATATCTGATGAATCTGTTGTAAACCTATTTATTAGTGCTATTTGTGTACATATATGTTGAACATGTCTAATCTTAATGCTCCTATGTGAGGTTAGGTATGATAACACTATGTAGAATAAGGCTAATTCGCTGACATAGATGTAGCAGATGCCTGCGCCCGCATACAGTTTTGGGACTTTGTTCCGGCTACATGGCCGTTGTAGTGGATATGATTTTAAGCTTCGTGCGGTGCGAATCCGGTTATGGGGCACCAAATACGGTACAATATTGGCATATTGGTCGAATCCGGGTTATGGGGGCCTATAGCTATAACAGTTTTACCCAGTTTCATACTAGTTATCGTTATCTACTTCGGTTTCACTATAATCCTTATGGAAGCCATGTCAGATATCTTGACATTTACATTTCATTGATATTATACACGTGAATTATATTACTAGTACAGTAAAAGATAATGCAAGATTCATGAAAGTATCCATAATGGTGAGCTATATGTGCCATATTATGTTTCCATGGTTCTTCTATATAGTTATGTGTTTTAAATTGTTTCTTTATTTGTTGATGATATCCTCTTGAAGCATGTTTATTTGGCTCAGCTGAGTTACCCTGTTTTAACTCGCAGGTTTTGAGACTTGGTTCCATAGTTAGAGTTCCCCGCGTTACAATTGCTGCAGTTGCATTCTGTAGAAGACTCGTGTCTTTTCAGGGTAGACAGAACTTCTTTGTTTTTTTTCTTTTTATGGCATGTCAGTGGCACATTTGGGCTCCAATTTTCAATTGTTGTTAATTTACTTTTGTATCATGTTTTGTAAATATATTCATTATTTTTTGGAAAACAGTACCAGGCAGTATTATATTTGTTTTCATTATACAGTATGTTCTAGCATGTCTAGACCATTACAGTCAATCAGTTTTGTTAACTCTCGTGACTCGGTTTCATATTCGGTTTCTTTGTTACTTGGGTGGATCCGGGAAGGGGTGTTTACATCATAGTCCACCAGCATTCTATGGTGGTTTCGTTGCTCTAGCCTACTCTTCTTAGGATGCGCTGTTGTTCTGGGTCGGGATGTATCACAGAGTCCACACGCTCCGTGTGGTTTATTCCCTCGGCTCATTTACAAATAAGTGAGGTTCCTTGGCTTTGATACAATGTCTACGCCTCGACTCACCTACGGAGATAGGTAATTTGGTCCACTTTGATCAAAGCCAAATTTCATTCCCTATAGTCTGGTATTGATATTAGTCCCATCGTTACGATTTTGTCCCTTTATAGTAAAATATGAAAACTTTCCGGAGGTCACTCTCATATTAGATTTTCATTAAGTCGATTGCGCACTTAAACTCTGGAGTTCTTCTTTCATACTCTTGCAAAGTTATCAGCCAAAAAAGGCGCTCTGATAAATATAGTTTCCTTCATTTTATACATTGAATTCGATTCATTTCCTACTGCGTTTCCCGCATTCCACTATCTCCAGTAGCTGATGCCCTTGCTCATCCTATGAAGCTAGCTAGACTTTTGCTTCTATCGCCTCTTAGTGATCGCTGCCGGATTCAGGAATGTCACATGTGTCAGTCTAAAAGGAAGATCATAAATTGTCACAATCCGCTGCCTTTCGGGTGTGATTTTTCTGTGGTGTTGGTTTTTATATGTTGGAATTCCACTACCCATAGCTAGCCTGCCATCCTAGAAGCTAGCTAGGAGCTTTGCTCTATCCGCCCTCTTAGGATCGCTTTGCCGGATCAGGATGTCACAGTGTCAGTCTAAAAGGAAGCTCATAATTTCACCGCTGCTCGGGGTTGTGATTTTTTCTGTGGTGTTGGTTTAAGTTGGATTTATTGGTTTGAGATTATGGGCTTCATCAAATTTCTAAGGATTTCTACGGTATTTTAGTTTTTTATATTTTAATTTGTTAATCAATTAATTTATATTAATTAACTTTCTGTTATGAGAATTTAGTGTTTAATATACTCGACTCTAAGTATTGCATTGGGATTAGAGGGTATAAAATTATCTATAAAGCCTGTGTTACCAACTGATCGAGTTATTATGTCAAGCATTTACAAGTGAGATTTATTAGAAATTGAAAGGGTAGAGGTGAACTGGGTGAGAGGTTAAAACCCGTGAGGTGAAAATATATGATATAGGCTTACTTGGATTAGGGCCAAACAATGCTAAAAGATTAATATTAACCAATTAGCTGGCTAGCTTGCCACCGCTATATGCCATTTGTGGGTTTGCTATTTAGTCGATGTGGGTTTATTAACACTCCCCCTCAAGTGGAACCAGGAGATCCGGTTGACACTTAACACTTGAATCCTCCCCCTGAAATTGAATTAGGTTTATTTCCCTTTGAAATTGAATGGGCCTCGCTGGGGACTGGACATCCAGATGAGAGTCCGAATTGAAACGAAGTAGCAACACCGGTGAACTGAGAAATAACTAAACCGGGCCGGACCTTCTCTATTACCATATTACAAGTTGAAAAGGTAGAGGTAAATTGGATGAGAGGTTAGTACCCTTGAGGTGAAAATATATGATATGGGCTTACTTGGGCTTAGGCAACCAATGCTAAAAGATTAGTACTAACCAATTAGCTAGCTAGCTTATACCTTATATGCCCTTTGTTGGGTTTGCTATTTAGTCAATATGGGTTTCTTAACAAGATTAGTGTGTTGATGAACATTTTGCATTAATACAAATTCTACTAAGTTATTATGATTAATTTGTTAATTTTTTTATTTCTTTTAATATTAGCTATGTTAATTAATCAACTAATTATACTGAGTTGTTGTAAATTTTAGATTATTTTATTGAAATTATATAATTTTAGTTAAATAATAGGTAAAAATTAATGAGTTTAGTTATTTTTAAGTTGTTTAGTTGAATTCAGTTAATTTTAGTTGAACTTTAGGTAAAGTTATTGAATTTAGTTAATTTTATGTTAGTTTAATGAGTTTAATTAATTGTGTCATTTTAATGAATTTTGTAGCTCAATTTTACGTTAATTTGTTGAATTTAGTTATTTAGATGTTGTTCAGTTAAAATGAGTTTATTTTCATTGAGTTTTAGGTAGTTTTAGATTGAATTTAACTTATTTTATGCTAGTGATGAATTTAATGCTTTTATTTCAATTTTAGCCATTTTTTTATTAATTGAGTTCATTTTTAGTTATTTTCTTGAATTTATTTTGTTGTACTAAATTTTGTTGATTATTGGTTAAGCTGTTTGAATTTATGATTGAGATTATATTTTCAATGCATTAGTAGGATACTGATTAGATGTTGAGGATTAATTGCCTTAGGAACCAGTAATGGTCCTTACTGTTATATATGAGTGGAAACAGGTTATACAAGTGCTTTGCTTTTTACTAATAATGTGTTAGTTGGGGTGGTAAGCGACCTCAATCCCAATAAGGATGAGAACACAAATTCGATTCTCGAAACTGCACTTTACTGGAGGGTAAAAAAATCTTTATGCTCTACGATCCAATGGGAATTAAACCTCCCAGTTATACCGGCTACTACAAGGCCAAGGAAAGGGATCAAGATAAGATTTGACAGGCTAAAAGTAAGGCATTGGATAACTTCGAGAACCACTAACAACTTGCTTGTGTAAGTCCATATAAGGACTTTTTAAGATGACAAAATTGGTTTGAGTAGAAGGATTAAAAACTAGGAGGGAGAACCATATAAATGTCTTCATTTAAGTCACTATACAAGAATGCATTGTTGACATCCAGTTGCTCTAAAAATCAATTACCAATTATTTAGGTGCTACAATAGCCAGTAAGAGTCGGGGAGAAAGTATCAAAGTAATCAACCCCTTCAGTTTGTGTATACTCTTTGGCTACTAAACAAGCCTTATACCTTTTTATTGAGCCATCACCTTTGTGTTTGACTTTAAAAACCATTTATAGCCTATGGTAGTTTTTCCGGGTGTTAAGTTAGAAACATACCAAGCTCTTTCATTCACTTGCTCATGAACTCGCAGCTTCGCTAGAAGCAACGAAGGGGGCCTAGTGAAGATCGACGACTACATAATATGAAGGGGAAGCGATTCTAGAAGCTTTGTCCCTTGCTTTACAGAGATTATTATGAACTAACTAAATGGCTGAATTGTTGTTCGATTGAAGTGTAGTAATTTCAGATTGCAAAATTTGCTTCCAACATTCATGTTTAATAGCTTTATTATAGGATTTGGGTTCAATATTAATAGAAATTGCTAAAGAATAATGGGAATGTGCAGGAGACAAGTTGGAATATAAAATAAAAAATGAGAGAGGATAAAGAGTATTTGAATATGGAAGCAATGGAGCTTATGTATTTGTTACAGCTAATGACAGAATGATAATCCTTTAAGTATGTTTTCAATTTTCGAGGTCTTGTAGAGTGTCTAGGTCCTGGATTTGTAGAAGTTGTAGAATTTATAGGATTTGTAAAAGAGACATTAGATGGAACAACATATGTGATTAGAGAGTTAATTGCATTAGATGTAGTAAAGAAAGATAATATATATATATATATATATATGCATCAGAAATGCTAGAATCTTGAGGTAGGGACCAAGAATGTGAAGAAGTGCTAAAAATGCTGGAATGTAGAGGAAAAATGTGCTCAAACAAACAAACATTTAGAAACAAATATGGTTCTAGTATGAAAATCTAATAAGAAATAGCCTTTGGTGCCAGGTTTGTAACCAAGAAAAAGGCACTTTCGGGTGCTTGGACCAAATTTATTTTTGTGGTTGTGAAGTGTAGAGGCAAAGCATAGAGAACCAAAGACTCTTAAATGATCAAAAGAGAGAATTTTATGGTAAAGCATTTCATATTTTTTATTGTTTAAGAATGGTGTGGGAAGTCTATTGCATGTATAATGGTATAAGACTCTTAAATCTTTGATAAATTAGACTGAAACAATAGAGATCTTACTACATTTTAGTATATGTTGATGCTTTCGCGCAACTATACCATTTTGGTGTGGAGTTTCCGGACAACTTGTTTGATGAATCACAATTTTGGAGGAATAGGAATCAAGCATGTGAAATTCAGGTGCATTATCACTTCTAATGGTTTGAATTCTAGTACTAAATTGAGATTCAACTAAAGTAAAAAAGGATTATAAGGATGATTGAACTTGAGCTTTACTTGTAAGATGAAAAATCTAGATGAGTCTTATAAAGTCATCAACTAGAGTAAGAAAGTATCTCTAATTATGAACTGAAATTACAGAAAAAGGACCCCAAATGTTTGGATGAAGCAATTCAAATTGGATCTTGTATTACTAATAGAAAAAGGTAAAGCTTTTTGTTTGGCTAAAGGACAAATTTCGCAACATAAATGAGAATTGAAGAAAGTTCAGGAATGTGATTATGTAATATATGCAATCTAGATAATGAAGGATGGCCAGGCTTGAAACATTTCCTTTTGGATTTTGATAGTTGTAATATGGAAATAAATTGTTTATAGTATATTTGTTTTTGCTATTTTTGTTGATATTTTTTTTCTGAGTTCTCATTGGAAATGTTAAGAAATTATGCAATTTTCTTGAGAAAATTAGCAGAGAAGTGAAAGGAAGAGAAGGGCAAAAAGAAGAAATGTGACTGAATTTGAATTGTAGAGCCCATTGTTCCTAATATTCAATACTAACTTTAACCCTAAATTACTTTTAGAATGCAATTGATACTATAAATGTGAAGATTAGGGTGTCCATAGAACAAAGGTGGAATTAGGATAAAAATGCAATTGTCATAAAGTTGATGGTAAACAATATATTAAGGCAAGATAATTAATTTTTTTTAATTGAATAATTATCCGAGATTTATTTTTTAACATAGAAATTATGGATTTTAGGTTTGAACATGTATGTTTAGGGTTTCTATTATTATTATATCATTTTATTTTGATTTTTTTGATGTGGGAAATTTATGAAAAGAATAGAGATATCATGATTTATTTTTAAAGCTAATAAAATTAAATCTTTTCCGGGTAATGAGTGTGGAACCAGATTGATGGTGCTTGATTATACCATTGCTTGATTCCATGCATTTTCATACAATCAAGAGCTCAATGGTGTAGCTGATGCTTTAACTAAATTTACTTTTTTTTTTTTTTTTTTTTTATGGTGCTTGATTATACCAGATTGCTTGAGATTCCATGCATTTTCATACAATCAAGAGCTCAATGGTGTAGCTGATGCCTTTAAACTAAATTTACTTTTTTTTTTTTTTTTTTTTTTTTTTTTTTTTTTTTTTGTTGAAAGGATTTGGATTGAGGAGATACCTTCATCTATCCTTTCTTTAATTTTATCGGATTCTTTATTTATGATTTAATTTTTTTTCTAAAAAATAAAAATACCAAAAATTAAGCAATCTAACTCTACATCTTGATTTAACGATCCTAAAATATTAATTGAAATTTCAGCAGAGTCTCCCTATAAATTCGACATATTCACGTATTAAATATAAGACAATACACAATAATATAATTGTCATCTAATTTCAAGCCTCACTTCATTTATCCCATTTGCTTCAAATTTGAATTTTATCATTTTCGACAATTTACATAACTCAATCTTCAAATCATATTCTCAGTGAATTATCACATACCCACAATTTGATCGATAATACGTAACTTTACCAATATATTCCCATATAGTTAGTTTATGAGAAATCAATTATATTTAACAATCTAACAAGTAATTAAATTTTCAATTATACCAACACTATCTTAATGTTTTTAGAAGACATTTGGTTCAACCGATTCATGAAACTCATACTTGATTCATACCTAACAACATTAAAATAAAAAAAAATGATATGTTCACCTTAAACATAAAAAAAAAAAAAAAAAAAAAAAAAAAAAAAAAAAAAAAAAAAAATTCACATTGTAGATAATATTTTATAAACCGTAAATGAACCATTTTAACACTTTGCAACATTTTGAGCCAAAATTATAACCAAAAACTACTCCCATCATTTTTTTTATATAAGACAACTATTTTTTTTTTTTTTTACAGACAATTAAAGAATTAATTTAACTGAATTTTTTTTTGTTAAAAAAAAAAAAAAAAAAAAAAATTCACATTGTAGATAATATTTTATAAACCGTAAATGACCATTTTACACTTTGCAACAATTGAGCCAAAATTATACCAAAAACTACTCCCATCATTTTTTTTATATAGACAACTATTTTTTTTTTTTTTTACAGAAATTAAAGAATTAATTTAACTGAATTTTTTTGTTAAATTCTTGGTACTTGCCTCTGACATTGCATTAATTAAATATTTGTAAAGAAAGTCAAATATCTCATCCCAATTTATTTTAATAAACACATTTAATGATCTACACCCATAATTAAAGGACAGATTACAGCAAATATTGAATCTAATTTTTTGGCTAATTAACGCTAACTTTATAATCTAATCAAATGTTTAAATTTTGTCCTCTCACTTTTATGGAAAAAAATAGATGGAAATGAAAGTTTAATTTTCATTTTAAAAATATGTACATTTTTTAAAGAAAGCATGTGCAAATTTGATTTCGGAGCCAAAATTTTTTTATAGCACCAATTATCTCCTCAAATTCTTCTCAAATGGCCACATATAAATAACATCAGTTTATATCTAAGAATTTACACACGAACTATAGCAAAAAAAAAATCAAAAATCAAAAATCAAAAATTCACTTTCTACAACCATATCGCGTCCTTTAATTTGAACTTGTAACTTCCTAATTCGTTCATAACTTTAAAAAATGATTTTATTCCGACTATTAGTCTTTTGAACTTGATCGATTTATATGCAAAAGAAAACACATGATCTCTAAATCATGATGAAGAGTCTGACTACACACACGACGGCCTTCTGGTATGGTTACTGGTACGAAGAAGGGAGTAAAAGAAAAAGAACTTCATAGAAAAAATAAGAAATTTGGTAAACATGCTTATACGACATTTAGAAAATTGAGGAGTTTTACAGATACGATATTTTTTTGCAGCAAAGTGTTGTCGTTTCAAGAGATAGCATTCAAAAAAATATGCTAAATAATATTTATTGTTCGACTTATATAAAGTGCTCATTGTTTTTGGTCAGTTTTCTTTTGCATCGAGTAATTTGTTATAAATTGTGCTTATATAATATCAAATCGGACACGGCATAACTTTTTCATTCTTAACTAACGGAACATATATTGTAATATGCACAAATTTTTTATCTTAATTAACCATAATGATATGATCATAAAGAATATGTAACCATATAACAAAAGTGTGCTATAGTTAGAAGATTTAAACGCTAACCAAAACATAAAATCTGAAAATTGCATGCAATTTGGCTGAAAATAAAGGGAGAAAGATAATATAGATGTGCATTGATAACTCAATCATATTTAATGCAATATTTAAACTTTATCTGTCATTTTCTTGTTTTTTTAAAAATTAATTCGGTTAATAAATCAATTAAAGGGAATTTGAACTTTGCACTTTAATCATAGTCTAAATTAAATAACTTTGTCTATTTTAAATGTGATAAAATGGAAATTTTATTTATATAAAAGAATCGGAGAGACCAATTTTCTCTTTTATTTTTTTTTAATTTTTTTTAAAGATCAAAAAGTATCTGCATACAATGCTTAAAGAAACACATCAAACACCACCAACAACTTGGCGAGCTATGAACACTAATTTCTGTTAGATAGCTCAAAACTTTCAATTAATTAGTCATTGAAAATTGATTATTTAACAAAGCCAACTCCTTTATTATTATTATTAACAACAAAGCAACACTCTTAAAAAACCCAACAAAATCTGATCAAACCCAACAAACTGCATCCCTGAAGTCGAATTTTATCTCATTTCAGCTGATGAACCGAAATCTTCCTCTGTCACAGACACCAAATACTTGTTATCAGAGTTCCTGACAGAGCAATTAGCTCGAATTTCTCCTTGTTTGCCTGTCACAACATCCAGCTGCCCCATCTTGATCATCCCAATAATAAATTTCTCAAAGAACAAAGATTCATTAACAGCAAAGCTTTTAACAATATCTCTTGTCCTTTTATCTGTGTACAAATCTTGATCCGAAGTAAATAAACCTTGGCGATTCATCAGATCAACGAAGTACTTGTTATCAAATTTGTTAGGAGACCTGATGTCCAAGAAAGTAGTATTATCAGTATCTTTTTTGGGACATGTTCGTTTGAGATTATTAGCGAAGGTCTTGTCCATTGTAGGATCTTGTGGGTAAAGACGGTCAGTGAAAGATGTGCAGTGACCAATGCCAATGGTATGGCCACCGGAGAGAGCCACCGCATCGGTGGCATCTAAGTTCTTTCTTGCAAGCTTAGTAAGAATTGTAGTAGTGTTAGCGTCAGGTCCAACAAGGTCTGTAAATGTTTGATTCACTTCAGCAAATACTACTCCATCTCGCCTTCCCAAGGGGACATCATATTTAGGACCACCAGTCTACAAGAAGAAAGAAACCATTGTAGAAATTAGCGAATTGTATAATATGAAACTCTCTAAAATCGCACCTTTTCTGGGAGAATAAAAATCTGAGAATAAAAAATCTTTACGTTTGACCGTTGGAGGTCCGAGGGATTGAACGCCGCGGTTATAAAAAGAAAAGGGTCGTGGTTATAAAAAAAAATGGTGGAAACTTATTAAGTTATTAGTAGCAGTTAATTACCAAGACAACGGAATCGCGAGCAGCAATAGCGACAATATCAGAGCAAGAGACGACACGGCCACATTCCTCGTGAACAAGCTCGCGGAGTCTATTGACGATTTTAAATGCCTCTTTTCTTAAGGTCAAATTGGGAAGTTCAGACTTTTCGCTTGGCCCACCTGCTGATCCATCAAGCAATACCGACCCGTCGCATCCCTGTTTAGCGTAATATCAAACTAATTATTGATGTAAACCAAAAATATTATATGCTCCATCTATAAAAATAAATATAGTTTTTTTTAATTTTTTTTAGATAATAAAACATAATTTAAAAGATATAATTAATATAATTAAATCATATTATGCGTTTAATTCCATTTTAATATACACTTATATTTGTTTTCTAATTTAAAAATTAGGAAGGTCTATGAATCAATTATTTATTTATTTTAAAATTTAATTAACAGTAATAATAATATATTTATTAATAACAGATACTTAAATATAGATGGGATAGAAAACTATAAATGAAAAAAGAAAATTATTTATTTTTATGGGATATTTATATCCCTCTTAGATATTATGATAACTCACTCACTGGACAAAAAAGAGAACTGTAACAGTGCAGCCCTGATAGTACCTTTTTTTTTTTTTTTTAGGAGGAAGTTTCATTCAGAAAGAAAGAGGGAGTGAGGAACAAACAAAACAAGTACTAGGCTATCTGGAGCAAGACATGATCAAAACTTAGAAAAGCTAGATTTATAAAAATCAAGAACTCATCAAAAGCTCACAAACTGAATATTAAATAAACATTTCTTGATTTAAAGACATATATAGTTATGATAAAATCAAGAAAGTCTGCTAAATATAATGACCGACCGGCAATACTGACCTTAACAAAGCAGTCATGGAAGTGAAGACGAAGCAAGCCAGCAGCTTGGCCAATATCTTTCTTGAAAACTTTCTCGAGCTCCTTTCTAATAATCGATTCAACTTTAGGACAGCTATTCTGGTAGAATGTCCATGAAAGACCATTCTTTATCGGAGGTTTGGTCTGTGCTTCAATGGCACTAAACCAAGAAGCCACTAAAAGAGAAGAGATCAAAAGGAAAGAACAAGTGAAAGCTCTAGCCATGGTTGGTATTGTCCTTTCTTGTGTTGTGTGTCATTCAAATCGAGGGTATGTTTATTTATAGCCACATAAATGTTTTCTTTAACCTTTTCTTTATTTAATTCTTTTGGAGATTGTCAATTTTTTTATGATAGAAAAAATTGACTAAAAGGGTAATTGGAAAATTTAGATTTGTATCATTGTTAATTAAGGCCACTTGTCAAGAATATAAATATTCTAGTGGATAATGAAAGTCATAATTTATGTGCAGTGCATTATGAAGAGAGATAAAGCATAGTTAAGACTAGAAAAACAAAATTGATAAAGGAGAAGAAGACAGAGTTGGCCAGAATGTAAACTTTTCAAACTTGGCTCCCATCATAATTGACCCATTTGATAAAGATCATGTGGTCCAAGTAGAATTTGATTCCACACAATTAGAACTATAACAGGTTCATTCCCATTGTATCAAAAGCTGAACGATTTACGTACAAAATTTGTTTTACTTTTGTCTTTTTATTAGAGATTCAATGGTAAAAAAGTACAGATTTTAGAAGAAAATATTTCTTATTCCAACAGTAATATTGGGCATTAATATATTTATGAGAATATATTTTAAAAAAAAGCATATGCAAGTGCATGGTGTTATGTAACTCGCAGTGTTATTTCGGCCAATAAAATCTCGAACGAATCAAAAGAAAAAAAGAAAGTCAAAAGAAAAGACTTCTTGTTTCAATCATGCCCTTGAAAGGAAAAAAAAAGAAAAAATCAAATTTGGTGAATAGCGATTGCTTGTTATGCCAAGCTTAAACACTGTATCACAAATAATGGACTTAATGATTTCCTAACAAAAATCATGGTATCAAATTTCACAGATTTTGAGAGAGAGAGAGAGAGAAATAACTTAATGAAAGAGTTGTTTTTTATTAATATGATGTGTCATCCACATCAGTTTTCTAATTAAATCAGTGATTTTTTTATTATACAAACTGATGCACTGTATCTTATATTACAAATAATATTCAATGACAAGTTTAGCGACAATAAATGAAATTAAATCCGTAGGTATAGGATGACAGAATGATATTTTATTCGAGGAAACCAAAATATCTTATTTAAATAACTTTTTTTTTTTTGCCAAAAAAAAAAATATCAATCTTTGTACCATAAAGTTGGCTCTGGGTAGTGGCTTGAAAAAAAAAAAATCAAACCCAATCATACAACCTATTGAATATCTCGGGATTTGTTCAGTAAAATTAACTGATTTAATAGCGTTTATTTGTTAACTGTTTGAGTAATTTTTCATAAAAAGTTAAAAGTTAAACGTTACATGAGTTAATTTTTATAAAACGTTATATTAACCTCTAAAAATTATTTAAAACACTATATTATCAAATACTATATTACCAAACATTATAAAAAGTAGCATTTAACAATTTAACTAATCAAAATACTAAAAGCTACTTAAAAAATTATTAGCAAACATAACCCTAACTATACTTCATACCATTTGTCCTCTTAATATTGAGGTTTAACACTTTGCTCTTTTAAATTTTAAACCCTAACTTCCCCTACTTATATGTACCCATTAACTTTTTTCCTTTAAAAAAATCCAATAGCACATCCTAAAAATTTTTATAATACAATTGTGTTAAATTGTGTTAAATTGTGTCAGAATCCGTCGTTCTATAATCCAAAATAAATAATGTAAAATCACAAATTGTTACACTTAGTTTTATGTAAACTGTGCTTATATATATATCCAAATAAATTAATGTAAAATACAAAATTGTTAACAACTGTAGTTTTATGTAAACTGTTGCTTATTATATATATATAATATATATATATATATCTATATATATATATTATATATATATAAAGACGAGAGAGAGAGAAGAAGAGAGAGAGAGAGAGAGAGAGAGAAGAGAGAGAAGAGAGAGAGATAATGTAGTAGGTATCATTGCCTCGAGAGAGAGAGAGAGAGAGAGATTAATGTAGTAGGTATCATTGCCTCCACCTGCTCCGCAAGAAAAAAACAAGGCTATTAATGGATCCATTCCACTAGGGAATACTTTCCAACCCTCATGTAATATTTTACCGTTTACGAGTTAAGTTTAATTACTTTTCAAAATAAATATTCTTAAGCTGGATTTTTTATCGTTCAAAATAACAATGATAATAAAAATAACAAGCAGCCCACGTGCTCTAAACCAATAACGCAAAAGGCCATCATAAATTAATTATTATTTGAAAATGCAAAAGTAACCCTAATTCCTTATTTATTTGTAAAGATTCCCCAAAATTTTAAAAAGCTGTGCATGTTTTATCTTTTGTGTCGATCCTTTTATGAGCTTTTGGGTTTGCGTGCGTGCCATTTCAAGCTCTATATACTTATAATCTTATGGTTTTTGCCTTTATCTTTTTCTCATTTCAGTTAAATATTTTGTATAAAACTGTTTATGTTGCTTTTTTTTTAATTAAGTGATATATGATTGAGCTTACGATGCTTAGTACTACAGGTGATACTGACCCTAGGTGATATTAGAGTCAAATAGTCAATCTTATACAATTTTCATATTAGACATAACGTAGTATAATGATATTTTTTATAACACTGCAATCTAAGCAAATTTCTCAATACAAGTTACTATTATAAATTTCATTTTGGGCGGTCCATATAAATAGAATAAATATTTATTATAGATATTGAGCAATGTTCGAACTTTGGATCTAAATCTATTAATTTCAGGGCATCATTCTTTATCATTTGATTAGGAAATTTTTTTCTTTGTTGTATAATTACTAATTACAGTTTTAATTGAGATTTTTATTACCCATTCAATGAATTGAGAGGCCAGTTCGTCAAGATTTTTATTACTAAAGTCCTATATATAATAATAAAATACATATAGTAATCAAAGTAGTTGGTAGGTTTTAATTGGGTAGAATATCTTATTTTTCGCCGGCATCTTTTCTTTCGTGTGTCTGCAACGCGTAAGTATTATCCTTAAAAATGTATATGTGGACCTGATGTGATGTAAAATTTATATGTGGATCTGATGTGATGCAGGGGAGAGGAACCTTCTTCGTCAAACACGCCCGTGAGTTCAACGGGAGATCTAGGTTCTGAAGCCGACAAGCCGACAATATTTTTCTTACCTATTAAATTTTTTATATATTAAAAAAAATTACATTGCGATCTCTATATTTTACGAAACACAATTAATTCATTTTTATTTTTTAGTAAATAAATTAAAATCTCTTTATAGCTTATTTTTATCAGACTATAACATTATCTCGTCCAATTTTTAGATCTCTTCCATTAAGTATTTTATAAAATGACGAAAATGTCTATTTTATTTTAAAAAATATAGAGACAAATTAATTGTATTTTTCACATAATAGGGACTGCATTGTAATTTTTTTACTATAATATTTTAGTATCTCTCATTTAACTTCTGTATTTTCTTGTTAACTTAGCGGAAAAAAAATGTAAAAATTGAACAGAATGACCTAATAGTGTAATGGATGAAAAATATAAAAATAAATTAATATATTTAAAAAAAATAGACAAAAATGGATTAATTGTACTGCGCACAATACATGGATCATACTGCAATTTTTCATTAAAAAAATATCTAACAATGCGTAGTGCTTTAATTAAGAGATTTTTTTTTTTTTTTTTTGTGCGTAGTGCTTTAATTAGAGTTTTTTTTTTTTTTTTTTTTGGAAGCCAGGTGATTTTTTTTTTTTTTTTTTGGAAGGCAGTGTTTTAAGATAAGCCACAACATAAAAGAAATTATTATGTGTATTCCCAAAATTTCATTAGACTTCTTTGTCCGTTTTTGTCCGTGATTTAAAACTTTTATATAACAATTAAAAATGCAATTAAATCACTTAAATTTTAATTTAACAAAATTACTTTTTGTTCACTTAATTATTTCAATCTTAAAATTTTTCTTATAATCTGTCACTAAACTCAAAAGGGAAGTGATAAGATGGATTTTGAAGAATAATAGCAATACTTATTGTGTTTAATAGAGATACAAACAAATTAAAAAATAATTAATTAAAATTTTTATTTTTCTCAAAATGATAGACAAACAATTTTAAATAAAATAACTTTTAATAAATAAAATTGAATAGAGAGAATATTAAATTTAAAAAAATAAAAATAAAACAAAACCCAGAAATATAAGTTTAATAAATGCCCCCATAGATTTTGGATTTTATGCATTAATACGTTTGATGGTGAAAAATAAAAATAAAAAAAGATTGTTTATAAAATTTTGGAGACAACCCCACAGGAATGGATAGCATATGAAGAAGCCAGCATATGTCTTTTACCCATGAGTTAGTTTTTCATTAGGAATGGCCACCACCACATTCTTGATTGGAACACTTTTAATTTCATTGTTTCATTACATCTGTAATTCTTTTTATCTTTGTCTTTTTCCCTGCTTCTTTTTAAAATAAAATAATGTTATCTCTATCTCTGTTTCATAATACTTTGTGATATTTAGAATTTCACGTTTTTTAAAAAAAATTATTAAATTCGTCTAAGTTACAATAAATTATTTAAATAAATTGACTATATTACCTTTAATTTAATACTAATTTTCTAAGAAAATCATTAAATTGAAGCAATAATTATTCGTCATATACAAAAGGTAAATATGGGAAAAAAACATTTATTACTTTTTGAAACTACAAATGTGATAAGTATTTGGGAACAAACTATTTTTTCAAATTTGACAAGTATTATGGAATGGAAGTAGTAATCCATAATGGTTGTCACATTTGAAATTTCACGTCTCTTAAGAAAATTATTAAATTTATCTAAATTACAATAAATTATTGAGTAAATTGATTATATTATTTTTAATTTAACGCTCCATATACAAAGGTTAAATATGGGAAAAAACATTTATTACTTTTGAAACCCTTAACATTAAATCGATGATACAGCTATAATGGCGTTAAAACAAACTATATTTTTCAAATTTGACCAAGTATTATGGAATGGAAGTAAGTAATCCATATGGTTGTCACATTTGAAAATTTTCACGTC